TACCAGTAACAATTCTTGTAGCTTCAATCTGGATGTTTTCTTAATTTTGACACAAGTGGTTTGGTAAATTATCCCAGACAATATCAGAAAATTATAGTACATGCCGAATAGGTGAAAAAATATATTGTTAGAAGAGAATTCCTATAATGAGTATTTGTAAGGTTCTTAATACAGCTAATTATTGTGACTTTTGTGATTATATATTAACGTGTGTATTCCATGTACCATTGTCTGACAATCCCTTCATGTTTATAGGGACTAATACTGGATACAGTGATGTTGTCATTGTTATACGATTGTAATTTTCTGTGGTAGTTTTTCTGCGAATTAAAAACGATTCTGTTTTGTCTTGGTTGAATTTAGCTAGCCACTTACTTGCCCAGTTATTTTGTCTGGATTGAATTTAGCTAGCCACTTACTTGCCCAGTTATTTTGTCTGGATTGAATTTAACTAGCCACTTACTTGCCCAGTTATTTTGTTTGGGTTGAACTTAACTAGCCACTTACTTGCTCAGTTATTTTGTCTGTGTTGAATTTAGCTAGCCACTTACTTGCCCAGTTATTTTGTCTGGATTGAATTTAGCTAGCCACTTACTTGCCCAGTTATTTTGTCTGGATTGAATTTAACTAGCCACTTACTTGCCCAGTTATTTTGTCTGGATTGAATTTAGCTAGCTACTTACTTGCCCAGTTATTTTGTCTGCATTGAATTTAGCTAGTCACTTACTTGCCCAGTTATTTTGTCTGGATTGAATTTAGCTAGTCACTTACTTGCCCAGTTATTTTGTCTGGATTGAATTTAGCTAGTCACTTACTTGCCCAGTTATTTTGTCTGCATTGAATTTAGCTAGTCACTTACTTGCCCAGTTATTTTGTCTGTGTTGAATTTAGCTAGCTACTTACTTGCCCAGTTATTTTGTCTGGATTGAATTTAGCTAGTCACTTACTTGCCCAGTTATTTTGTCTGGATTGAATTTAGCTAGTCACTTACTTGCCCAGTTATTTTGTCTGCATTGAATTTAGCTAGTCACTTACTTGCCCAGTTATTTTGTCTGTGTTGAATTTAGCTAGCTACTTACTTGCCCAGTTATTTTGTCTGCATTGAATTTAGCTAGCTACTTACTTGCCCAGTTATTTTGTCTGGATTGAATTTAGCTAGTCACTTACTTGCCCAGTTATTTTGTCTGGATTGAATTTAGCTAGCCACTTACTTGCCCAGTTATTTTGTCTGGATTGAATTTAACTAGCCACTTACTTGCCCAGTTATTTTGTCTGGGTTGAACTTAACTAGCCACTTACTTGCCCAGTTATTTTGTTTGGGTTGAATTAAACTAGCCACTTCCTTTCCCAGTCATTTTGTCTGGGTTGAACTTAACTAGCCACTTACTTGCCCAGTTATTTTGTCTGGGTTGAACTTAACTAGCAACTTACTTGCTCAGTTATTTTGTCTGGGTTGAACTTAACTAGCCACTTACTTGCCCAGTTATTTTGTCTGGGTTGAACTTAACTAGCCACTTACTTGCCCAGTTATTTTGTCTGGGTTGAATTTAACTAGCCACTTACTTGCCCAGTTATTTTGTCTGGGTTGAACTTAACTAGCCACTTACTTGCCCAGTTATTTTGTTTGGGTTGAATAAACTAGCCACTTCCTTTCCCAGTCATTTTGTCTGGGTTGAACTTAACTAGCAACTTACTTGCTCAGTCATTTTGTCTGGGTTGAACTTAACTAGCCACTTACTTGCCCAGTTATTTTGTCTGGGTTGAACTTAACTAGCCACTTACTTGCCCAGTTATTTTGTCTGGGTTGAACTTAACTAGCCACTTACTTGCCCAATTATGTATTTACAAATGATCACTGTTAATAGTATTTACAGAGATAGCTGGGTTTTCGACAATTATGTACAAGGCCGTGTCATCAATGATTTTATTTTACAATCAATATGGTTCCCTGCATCATTGATATACTAAGAAAATAGAGAGCCTAAAATTGAACCTTGAGATTCGCTTGCTCTGATATCATTTAATCTGAAGAATAACTTAACAACTTTGCTGACAAGTGTCAGTATTCATCAAAACAAAAACACATGACTGACTTCTTTGCAAAACTGTAGCCTGATTTTAGACCTGTATCTGTTACGTGCGTGTGACTAGACTAAGGTTTATAGTGAACGAGTCTAGTGTGTTAGGTAAAGCCTGTTTATAACTGATAATACGTGTAAAGATGTTGTTTTGTAGACTTCGCATTTTGTAGTTTTCAGTAAGTAAAAACATTTCGCCGCTTGATAACACTTAATCAGACCTTCACATCGACCAGGTCAGAAATGGACTGGTAGAGTGCTTCACGAAGTTCGGTTTCTACGAAGTAATTTTGATGGTCCCACAGACTTCTCACAAAGCGGGATTTACTGTATAACGACTTTTTCATTTCTATCAGATGAATAATTTTCACACCAAAATAATAATTTAACAGAAATACCGACAAATTTTAATTTATATATAAGACTCCGGTGCCAAACCAGATCGAACGCTTTACCTATGTCACTAAATACTGCTAAAATTTCCTTACCCTAAAGCCCCCCAATATTTTTAGTGATATCTAAAAGTTGTTGAGTTGCAGAATCCCCAAGTGTAGAACCTAATTGACTTTAAGTTTAAAAAATGACTCGAAAAAAAATTGTACGTACGTTCAAAAATACTTCTTCCTATTAGCCTGGTAGGTCTTCTACATAAGCGTCGGTCTTTTGAGCATGTTCTAACATTAAATCATGACCGACTTTGCGATAAATTGTCTCATTTGATAACTGGCGATTGGCCTCCTTAATATAATATTCAGAATCTAGTAAGTAAAATCGACGGTTTGGTCCAATACTGGTACCGGATCTTCTATATGTAGAATCTAGTACGTAATATCGACGGTATGGTCCAGTATTGGTACTGGATCTTCTATATATATAATCTAGATAGTAATATCGACGGTATGGTCCAATATTGGTACTGGATCTTCTATATATATAATCTAGATAGTAATATCGACGGTATGGTCCAATATTGGTACTGGATCTTCTATATATATAATCTAGATAGTAATATCGACGGTATGGTCCAATATTGGTACTGGATCTTCTATATATATAATCTAGATAGTAATATCGACGGTATGGTCCAATATTGGTACTGGATCCTAACAAACAAATGTTTATTGGATGTGTATTACTGGAATAAATATATGGTCAATGAAGTAATAACGACAGTACGGACAAGCGAATTGTCAAGTTTTCGAGGCAACCTGCCCCTTTATCAAGACACTAATATTACATAAATCGCATCACATACATAGAACATTAAACAAATACAAAGTTATAAATCTAAATCGATAGTTGTGGTTTTAAAGGTGTCTCGATAATCCCTTCGGTCGATGGCCGCTGAAGGTCGTTTACGAAGGACACAAAACCATGCCAGGTTGTTGTATGGAAGGGGATGATTGACATATGAAAACTGTCTTGTATCGATCCCGGTATGTTTTGCACTCTAGATGTATGCTCAGTGTCAAGAGTACAAAACAAACCGAGATTGATATAAAACATTTTTGAATCTTTAATCACCATCTTCCATACAACAACTTGGGATGTTTTTTGTCCGTTAAAATGACACGAAAAATAATATTTTGCCACATACAATGCATACATTGTACTTATGTGTGTGTACATATCGATACACATTGAACATGTATATACCATCTTAGCATGTATGATAATTTATACCAACAAACTTTTCATAGTGAGGCTATAGGCACAATCAATCGATGAAAACCATCTTTTCCTGTGCGATACATATGAAATTAACATATTGTTATATTAATCAACAAACAAGCAGAATTATAGTTAAGAGTGGTGATAGGAACAGGAACAGCTATATCAGGTAGGTGTATGTACATGTATCAAAATGGCATTTTCTTATGAAAAAGTTCTATATCTCTTCAATCAAATATAACGCCTACAGCGAATATAAGTTAGAGAAATTTATTTTACACACAAAACCATCTTTTGATATTGTGTGGTACATTTAAATGTGTGCATATATATATATATATATATTTTTAATTCCTGTATGCAAAATTAATTATCTTTTAAATCAAGTCAACGGGCGACTCCATGTTCGTGTACAAAGTATATAGATTAGATAAATTCACTATAGCAATTATTGCCCCTGCAAATTCATCATACTTTCATACAACAATTTTAAACATGTCATATAATCATATAGCTATTTATAACATAAACCCTCTCCAGTACATACATTGTATGATTCCATATGTATATTCAACAAATGCGCTAAATAGAGTTGATGTTCACGTGCGACGTTCGAGTACCTCTTATAACCGCTGTAGGTAATACACGTGTCTGGTATGTAAAGCACGCTTGAATCATGAACTTATTTGTGTATTACAGAATGATATTTCTGTTTGTTTGTTTGCTTTCTTTCTTCGTTATTTGTATTGCGTTGCGGTTCCCGATGCTATAAACTTAATGATACAAGTCGGACAGAATATGTCTCTCAATTTGCAGCGGACTATATCAGACCAAGGGTTAATGTACGAACCAAACACATCAGTACTTGGCAACGAAAACCGGCAGAACGTCTTAAGAAATTCCAAATTACCTAGCATTACATCTTTTTTAATTACAGCAAGACGACAAAACATTTTGACATTAAAATTTCACTTTGGGGCCCAACACAACAGAATGAAGAATTTGCATTTTTAAAACGATCACCAGATATTTCTGATTCTAGTTTCAAGACCTGTCAAAAGTTCTTCCAAAGTGGTCCTTTTTGGTAAGCGCACTCACACAAAAATGGTCCGTTCGACGCCTTAATTAACTGATTGGCCAGTTATTATCATACTAGGAAACTTTGACTTATTTTCGTCATGAAGATTGTAAAAGTGTGAGGTGTGATAACTTTGTATTATACGGAAAGCTATTTTATTTCTGAAAGGACGAATGATTCCCTGTATGTATTATTGTGTTACTGGTGCTGATTCAATCAAACGATTGCTCGTCTTTGATATACTCGTCGGTACAATTTTCACATCATAGATAAGGCCACAGGATTTCAATATACATCAGTAAGCTGTCTGATTTAAGTTATGTTTTTTCTTAAAAGCTTCTTTGCCACTTTTCAGACCTAACTCTGTGCTCGGACTACCTGGTTTTTGGACTTGACGGTGTAAATGACTCAGCGCTGACTGGATCCACCTATTTTGGAAATCGGATTTCTAACTCTTTTCATATGGCAAAGCTGTATTCCGATTCTGTGTGGACGGCAAGTACACTAAACGTTGAGCAGTACATACAGGTAAAAATTTGAATAACAGTGATTTCCTCAGCAAACAAAACCGTTCTTTATGAACAACATTATTTAAAGTTTTCACATTAGGTTTTCGCTTACACCCATTAACTAAAATCAATTTTAATATGTAAAAATAACAGATAATAATTAATCTTATCGAATCTATAAATTTATGAAAGATAGTAAGTAATATTTCACCTTGAATTTTCCGTTGCTAGACAGTAACAATACATCTTCCCCGACTAAAACTTGCTGAAATTGATTCAATAGTAAAAGTTTTGTGTCCAATATCACGATTTGCAGCTTGGTGATTATAACGATGTATCACATTCACGATCCACAGATACTGTAAATACTATACTGTTATATGTGTCGGCGTTCCAATACTTACACAATCACGATCCACAGATACTATAAATACTATACTGTTATATGTGTCGGCGTTTCCAATACTTACACAATCACGATCCACAGATACTATAAATACTATACTGTTATATGTGTCGGCGTTTCCAATACTTACACAATCACGATCCACAGATACTATAAATACTATACTGTTATATGTGTCGGCGTTTCCAATACTTACACAATCACGATCCACAGATACTATAAATACTATACTGTTATATGTGTCGGCGTTTCCAATACTTACACAATCACGATCCACAGATACTATAAATACTATACTGTTATATGTGTCGGCGTTTCCAATACTTACACAATCACGATCCACAGATACTATAAATACTATACTGTTATATGTGTCGGCGTTTCCAATACTTACACAATCACGATCCACAGATACTATAAATACTATACTGTTATATGTGTCGGCGTTTCCAATACTTACACAATCACGATCCACAGATACTATAAATACTATACTGTTATATGTGTCGGCGTTTCCAATACTTATTAGGGTACAACATGTGATATTTCATTATATACACAGTCTTGTTCTTGTGCGTTTTCAAAGCTGACCTCTGTCGTCCAATAGATTTGTGAGTTTGAAATGTTAATACGAGGGCTGATTGATAAGTTGTAAGCCTTGTATTGAAGAATTTAAGCAGGGATGTCCTTTTTCAGCTCTACTATTCCCTGACTATTTAAGGCCGTGTACCCAAAGGCTGGTGTCATTTGGTCAGTTTGTGTCTAACATGTAGCACTCTAAAGTAAACAAGGCAAGTGACTTTTGCAAAATGGACAAAATCGCTGAATGAGCAGTGATTCAATATGTGCATAACAAAAGTCTAACACATAAATATATCTAAGTGAAATGGTAAAAACACATCACAAAGATGAATGGCGGAATTTTAGCGCGGCAAGTAGAGCCTTGGGACGACGCCCGTCTTGGTAGGCCGGCATCTGTTGCAGTGAGAAAGCTCTCAGCCCTTGGGGTACTAAGACACACCAGGCGGAGGTTTTCGCGTGATAACCTGAACCTTTTAGAAGTAGATCCTTCTAACTTTCAGCAAAAGTTTGTGTTAAATGATGAAGCGTGGGTCCATCGTTTCAACCCAGAGGTCATACACCAGTCTACACAATGGAAGCACCCTGGTTCACACCCACCAAAGAAGGCAAAGACTATACCATCAGCTGGAAAGGTTATGGAAACGGTTTTCTGGTATTTTGATGGTAGATTATCTGTAAAAGGGCAAACAATCAGTGGGATATATTATGCATCACTTCTTAGGCATTGAAAAGAAAATATTAAACTCGACAATAACCTTGACACAGCAGTATGATACCCCGCCCGGTCACATTATACTGACAATAGCCTGGACACAGCAGTGTGATACCCTACACGGTCACATTATACTGACAATAACCTGACACAGCAGTATATACCCTACACGGACATTATACACAATAACCTGGACACAGCAGTATGATACAATAGCCTGGACACAGCAGTGTGATACCCTACACGGTCACATTATACTGACAATAACCTGGACACAGCAGTATGATACCCTACACGGTCACATTACACTGACATTAACCTGGACACAGCAGTATGATACCCTACACGGTCACATTATACTGACAATAACCTTGACACAGCAGTATGATACCCCGCCCGGTCACATTATACTGACAATAGCCTGGACACAGCAGTGTGATACCCTACACGGTCACATTATACTGACAATAACCTGGACACAGCAGTATGATACCCTACCCGGTCACATTATACTGACAATAGCCTGGACACAGCAGTGTGATACCCTACACGGTCACGTGGTACTGATTGTGGATAAAAATCTACAGTCTCATTTCATTTTATGCTGATCGACATGCAGGGGGCACGGAATATAATGTTGTTGTTATGATACGACTTATGTCCGTTTTCAGGTCATCACGGTCTCTGGGGTTCTAAGGTGTTGTCATATCTGATGATAGAGATACTCATGTTGTTTTCCAGGTGAAATTCCCAAGAGAAACAATGGTGAATGCCATTCTACTACAGGGACGAGAGGACCACACTTACAACCAGTGGGTGAAGACATATTACGTCTTCTACAGCATCGATGGTGTGGAATGGACCATTGTGACGTCATCAAACCAAGATCCAAGAGTAAGATATGTTAAATATAAAAGACGTTACATTTATGAGTCATTCTTAACAGACGATGCATGAATATAAAGCTTGGTTTTGTTACAGTTATTTCCAGGGAACACTGATCACAACACAGTGGTCAAGTCCACAATAGTCCCCAGTATCACTGCTGTCTACATCCGTATCAACCCAAGGACCTGGAACACACACATCGCTCTTCGCTTCGACGTTAGTGGATGTTACAAAGGTAGGAAAACAAGAGGCCTAATGGGCTTGCATCACTCACCTCGTAATCTTTGTTATCACGAGTATTTCAATATCATTGATATTCAAAGTGTTTCTATATAAAATCTACCGAAACAATATTTGAATCACGGATGTTTACAGTGTAAAATAAGATAGGACGACAACTGATGAATAATGCTGTGGATGGCTTCATGCTATGTACTCTATAAGCAGGCGAGGTTGTATAAATCTGTTACATTGAGAACAGGTCAGAGCCATTTCCTTAAGCAATATTTTTTTTTATTTATCCTGCCCGAATCAGGTGCAGTTCTATGTGAAATATTTTACCCTTGTGACCTAGATTATGGGTCGCTGTTTAAAAAAAATTGTCTCGAGTTTTATCCCAATTCTATGCATTTCAGTTCATTAAAATTATTCTTGTAAGTTTTCTCCAATTTTGACACGTGACCTTGAATATGAGTCAAAGTCGTGCCCCCCCCCCCCCCCCCCCCCCCCCCCCCAAAAAAAAAAAAAAAAAACATTGTTGGGATTTATCCCAGAATCATGTCGGTAAACAGAGAAAGCAGAGCGGTATATTACAACTAATATTTACCACGGTTACATACTCCCTCTCCATGGAAAAAAACGTCCTCAACTTTCTAGGGGTTACAGTGATGCTGGTGCGGAATGCTTAGTATTAATTTCGAGTCCCTTGGCAGGCGTTATAACTCTGTATAGTACGTAGATAACTGGGATTTGTTTTCGTGTTAAAGCACTTCAACTTGTACTAGATTTATCTTTTTCTTCAAATTGCCTTTCAATGTTCCAATTAACACCCCCATTGTGTCTTCTTAATATTTGGATTGATCAGAAAAAAACAAAATGGCTGAAAAGGTAGGCCATCTTGGATGTTGATGATATAATATTGTTCTCGCTATTTCCGAAGAAATACCACATGTATTATTGTTATTAAATTGTATACCAAGGTTCCTCTTGGTCGTTATTTCTGCACTTTTAATAAAATGGCCAACATGCGGCAACGTCCATTTTGGTCTGATCAGAAAAACAAATTGGCCGACAGGTGACCATCTTGGATTAAAGAATATTGTCTTTTCTTGTGAGGTACACATTCATTTAATTTAAAGCAGATAGGTAGAAAGAAGGACAAAGACAAAACTGATGAATAGAAATAAGGATTATAGTGGGCACCAGGATTCCTCTAGAATTTCATATGTAAACTGTCGTTTGTTTCGAAAATTGATCCCAAATCAGTCTTATGTAATGTTTTGTTTCAGCTGTTAGTTGTTTGGGGTTACAGAGAATCCCGATGTTGCCTTCCTTAGACCAGCAGCACCACCCCGTGTTTGCGTCGACCTCTCAGACATTTCCCAACTGTGGTAAAATGTGTCGTGAAAAAAGACCTTGTTGCTTCTTCGCCTTTGATATGAACCAAAATACATGCAGTGGCTTTGAGCCGTCACTCATACTGAGAAATGTTACCTTCTCTACAGAACCAACTCAGTTCTTTCAGTTCAATGAAGGTAATCATTTTCATGGGGATGTCATTTCATCTCGTTACAAACTAGTCCTGTTGTCTGCTGAGTGGTGCTGTACGAACCATCGTCATTAGAACGAGATTTTCATTGTAATAACACTCCAATGGTTGTGTGGTATTTTGTCTATGACAAATTTTGATTTTTTCCCAATGATTATTTGAATTTGATATTTTTACTTACTTTTTACTAATGAGGTTCAAAATAAAAAAGTAAATTTGTTTGCGTTTTTGTTTTGACAAAACACTGATAAATTGGAATTGTTATTAGGGTAATTACGCTGGACTACCTATCACAGTGGGTAAGGGAGGAAAATTTACAGAATTTTCGTTTTCTCGCCGCCTACAAATCTTACCTAGTCCTCTACACGTCGGAAAACTAACATTATCTACATTTAAAAAAAATGTAAAAAGTCGCTGCTGCATGTTGTGCTGGAATATCGAAGGCATATTAACATCGACTATACGTTATAAGGATTAACAATGGTCAGTGTTGTTACTATATAGAAGATCATATCTATTCTACTCATCGATGTACAAACTTTTCACAAATTTTGCACAAGTTCCGCTTCACAAATTGTTAAATAATATGCCAAACGTAGTATTTTACACAAAATGGAACCTCGTCCATCGTGTATCTTAACTGATCGACATAGCGATGCATTTTAAGCACCATTGAATGGTTTATTCGGACAACATAAGGCACTGTATGAAATGTTTACATGATGGAAACTAAATGATTAAATATCATTCGATTTTTCTTCCCATGCAACATTACTTCATTAATAAGCTATCGGTACAGGAGGTCATTTGCTGTCTGGGTTAAACATTAGCCAGTGTTTGTTTCATTCACTGACTTAAGACAGGAACTGTAATGTTTAAGATATCTTCACCAATATATATATACTACACACATTATTTTATATACAGATATTTGAAAAACTTCCTTTGTCAACTACAGGTGTATTATCATCGATTGGCTTTGAACCTTTCTCGACCAGAAGAACTCTGTACAAGGTGATCCAACTTCGCCAGAACCAGAAAAACGCAACCAATAGCTGTAACCAGATGTGCGCGAGTCTGTTACAGATTATGTCAGTGAATGAAATGTCATTCTTTCAGGGGCTGCTTTCTGAAAACGACATTATGAGTAGGTGTCAAACTTTGAAAACCAAATAAACACGATTTGAGTATATTTTAGAATCTACAAACCTGAATAGTAACTTTGTGCTGTCATTCACATTAGATATGTATGTGACTCTAAACAAATAAGGTCATTTTCAACAGATGTTTATATCGTGGAAGTTGCTCTGAATAATCTTGATTGATGTGTGGCGTACAATGTAAAGCATATGTTATTCAGTGGGAGGATCTGATAACCAACTGTTTGTGTCCGGAATGTTTGTGAATTCTCACTGGGTATACAGTAATGGAATGGATGTCATTGACAGCAACCTTTGGTCTCCTAACAACCCTGATCAGGGCCAGGGACAATGCGTCATGCTGACACTGACGGGTCTGGCCACTGTTGATTGTAATGCAACCCTCTTCTCTGTCTGTGAATCGTTTGAATTCTTAACCTAAAAAAGTGGAGAAAATATGAAAATCTTGGAAACCTTGGAAACATTTTTGATATCAATAAATCACGGATTTGTACACATACAACAAGACATTTCCAAAGCAATACCACGATTTCACGGCTATGACATGATATTAGAATATTTTGTGATCAGAGTGAGATGTGTGTAATGTTAAACGGAAAATCACTACAGTTTTCATATCGAAACAAAGATAAAATAATGTATATATAAGTAAAAAAATATAAGTGTATAACCATGACATTTAGAGTTTAGTGAGGTATGCTGAGAGTGATAAGATTATGTTTATCAAATGTATATAATATTGCAAAAAATAAAAAAAAACACTTTTTAAATAAAAATCTAGGTCGTATTTGAAAAGGATGGTGAGGCACATAGAACACTTCAGTCACAAATATACAGCATTTACTGTCATATCACTGTCAAATACACACCATTTGCTGTCATATCACTGTCAAATACACACCATTTGCTGTCATATCACTGTCAAATACACACCATTTACTGTCATATCACTGTCAAATATACAGCATTTACTGTCATATCACTGTCAAATATACAGTATTTACTGTCATATCACCGTTAAATATACAACATACATTTACTGTCACATCACTGTCATATACACACCATTTACTGTCATATCACTGTCAAATATACAACATTTACTGTCACATCACTGTCAAATATACATTTACTGTCATATCACTGTCATATACACACCATTTACTGTCATATCACTGTCAAATATACAACAATTATTGTCACATTACTGTCAAATATACAATTATTGTCACATCACTGTCAAATATACACCATTTACTGTCATATCACTGTCAAATATACAACAATTATTGTCACATCACTGTCAAATATACAACATTTACTGTCATATCACTGTCAAATATACAGTATTTACTGTCATATCACTGTCAAATATACAACAATTATTGTCACTTCACTGTCAAATATACACCATTTACTGTCATATCACTGTCAAATATACAACATTTACTGTCATATCACCGTCAAATATACAACAATTATTGTCACATCACTGTCAAATATACACCATTTACTGTCATATCACTGTCAAATATACAACATTTACTGTCATATCACTGTCAAAGATACAGCATTAACTGTCATATCACTGTCAAAGATACAGCATTTACTGTCATATCACTGTCACATATACAGCCAGATACTGTCAGCAGTATCAAATATACAGCAGAAGATCTCTTCGATGGTATATAGATATGAAAAAAAAAAGTTAAAGATGATTTTATACTTTCAACATTAGTCAACTATCACTGTCATTATTTATGGCAAACATGGGCTGAGTTGGTTGGTAAACAGAGAGGTGTATTCAGACGGCGTCATGTGAACAACATAAAAACAAGTAGAAGAGGTGAGCGGTTTCATACTTTTGTAGTTTCTACCCTGTCAATACATCTGTCACTCTCTAGTGACAGGTTTTATATAGATATATCATTACACCTGATATACATGTACACAATATGTCACTCTCTAGTGTTAGGGTTTAATGAAAACTTCTTTATAATGGTAAAAAGTCTGACTCTTAAATAAATAAAAGGGAAAATCAAAAAGGAGACAGATCGATATTACTGAGTCACCACGTAACTCTCAACCAACATTAAGATCGATATTACTGAGTCACCACGTGACTCTCAACCAAACATTAAGATCGATATTACTGAGTCACCACGTGACTCTCAACCAACATTAAGATCCATATTACTGAGTCACCACGTGACTCTCAACCAACATTAAGATCGATATTACTGAGTCACCACGTGACTCTCAGCCAACATTAAGATCCATATTACTGCGTCATCACGTGACTCTCAGCCACCATTAAGATCTATATTACTGAGTCAACACGTGACTCTCAACCAACAATAAGATCGATATTACTGCGTCACCACGCAACTTTCAGCCAACTGTTGTAGTCAACATTGAAATACAATTTTTTTTTCATTTTTTATTTTTCGTTGCATCATTCAATTACATGAATACAAAATATGTCATGATTGATGTACACATTGCCATATGATTTATAATGAAGACATTAAATTTGGTAGGCATTGTTGAAAATAAGATGAGAAGAAACTACAAAACTCCGTCAAGGATGTGTTTGACACTTTCCCACTTTTGGCGGGTTATTTGAGCAGAATATGGGGCAAGAGCATAAGCTGAAAATAGATCAAGATCTCTGTAATTTTTTAGGAATATTTTACATGATACCCAATCAGGAATTTGCCTGTATTGTCTTTGCAATGATATATATTTTTTCATAAGAAGAATTACAAGATTGAGACCTTTTGGTTGAACATTTTCTCTTAATCCAAGTAGAAAAGAATCGTTTTTTTTCTCTAAAATTATACCATAATTTTCGTAAGTTGAGTTAACAAGACATGTCCATAGAGATTGACTATGTGGACAATCCCAAAAAAGATGGCAAATAGTTTCTTGTGCCCCACTGCAGAAACTGCAATCTCCGTGTTCTAAAACCTTCATCTTTAATAAAACAGTATTGGAGAAAAATATTCGATGTATGATTCTAAACTGTAAGCTTTGTAATTTTGAATCTTTGCTTTCTTGGAAAGTAAGTGCGTGGATTCTTTTCCATTCATTTTCATCCAAAGAAATATTCAACCATGAATGCCATCTTTCGTGGGACTGTACAGGCCATTCCGCAGTTTTTCTTACAAATATCTTATAAAAAAAACCTTGAAGGTTTATCAATACTTTTCACATGTTCTAAGTTTTTGTGAACTATATCTTCAATATTACTTTTAAAGACATTAATTGTTCTCTTCCAGCCATTAGGTATTGCACTAATCAGACTGTTATGATTAAGAAAGTTAACATTTATTTGATATTTTTGTATAAACTGATCAAAAGTCAGAAATACCCCTTCCTGATTTACAATATCTTTTATATAATATATACCTACATCACACATTTTCTTATAGAAAAATGTACGTCTGTTAATCTTTATACTGGCATTAAACCATAATGGCTGAGAAAGTCTTCCGGAGCTGCGGGGAGGTGTTCAGAAAGAGAGCTCCAGATCTCGAATATATCCTTCCAAAAAGGTCCAAATTGATCTTTGTTTACTAATTCCAAAAGTCCATGTTTGGTTAACGTCCAAATTTTATCACCACCATATTTTTCAATATCGTCTATAAAAAGTGTTTTCCATCCTTCATGATTTTTGGAATCTAAACATTTCTTTATCCATATTACTTTTAATGCTCTACTATAAGAGAAAATATCTGGAACTTTAAGACCACCATCTGAATACTCTGCTATTAAGAGATTCCTTTTCAATTTATCGACCTTACTGTTCCAAATAAAATTATAAAAAAGTATTTGAAAAGATTTTAATATTTTTGCTGATGGACTTGTAAGGACTGTCAAAACTTGAACAAGAATTGGAAAAGCTAAAGTCTTAATTAATAGAGAGATTTCTTATTGACCAATTAGAAACACGCTCAATCGTCTTATACTTTTCAATAAAATTGTCTTCATATACGTTTTCTTTGCCTAAATTATAAAATATTCCTAACAACTTAAATTTGCCGGAGTGATTCCAGTTAATGTTTTGCCTCGTTTCAATCTCCTCTCCGCAGCCCCGTTTTGCCCCAATCCAAACGGCTTGGGTTTTGTCAAAGATGGTCTTTAGACCAGAACATTCCCCAAAGATGTCGATCAAATATAGACATTTATTCAGAAAGGTTTTATCATCATCTAATATTAAAGTGGAGTCATCTGCATACTGACTAATCAAGTGTTCAGAATCATTGAAGATCATGCCTTTTATGTGAGGGTCAAATCTTATATCAGCAGATAAAAGCTCAAGACTAATTATAAACAAATAAGGGGACAGTGGATCCCCTTGTCGTACACCTCTAGTAACTTGAAAAAAGGGTGAAAGATGTCCATTATTTTCAACGGATGTAGATATATTTGAGTACAGCGTTCTAAAACAATTTATCATGAAATCACTAGAATGGAAAAAAATGTAGACATTTTTCTATAAATGCCCACTCGAGAGAGTCGAAGGCCTTTTCAAAATCTAACATTAGCAAAAATACGGGTCATTACTTTTTCCAGACTTTGAAATGAGATCATTAATTAATCTAGAACATTCTCCTATATAACGACATTTAACAAAACCAGCTTGACTTTCACTAATATCTGGGAGAGTACGGTTTATTCTATTAGCAATCGAAGCTGCTGCAATCTTTTAATCAACATTGAGAAGTGTGATCGGTCTCCAATTTTTTAAATGTAATTTTGACTTATCTGACTTTGGAATACTTTTGATAATTCCTTGACGCTGGCTAATTGCCATTGAATGATTTTGGAAGGATTGATTTATTGACTTAACAAGAAACGTATGTAAATCGGACCAAAAAAAATTATAGAATTCCGACGTAAAACCATCAAGACCTGGAGATTTTCCATTACTCATACTTTTTAGAGCTTTTGGACATTCTTCTCTCCCGAGTGGACCATTCATAGAATCACTTTGTTTAGCTGCTAGTCTACTTATATACGGATTATTGTGATTAAAAAAAATTGATTCGTGTATTTCGTTAAAAACAGTTTGCTTCGTATTGTATAAGTTTGAGTAAAATCTGGATTGTTCTGTCAAAATGTCTTTTATATTATTTATTTCAGTTCCCTCAGAAGTTATGAGTTTTGTAATCATCTTCTCTTTGTACTTTCGCTTTCCTAAATTGCAGAAATATTTCGTGCTTTTTTCGCCCTCTGCCTTCCATTTTGCCCTTGTAATTACACCTTGCATTCTTTTATCCCTAATAGCTTTAATTTTCCTTCACACTCAGATATTTCTTTCTTTATGCTGTCATTGTCATCTGTGTGGTAAGTATTGTACAAAGTGGTAAGCCTCTCTGTCAGTTCCCTCTCTACTT